AATTTATTAATGTCGCAAAAATAGATTATGTAAAATTACATTTTAAATAAATAATATATCATACTTTTCAAGTGTAACAACGGGTATATTTGATACAGCTGGCAACACTGCAGTCAGCTGCTGTTTTCGGAGCCGGGAGCTGCCGTTTTGTCGGCTAAAATCTCATATATATTGTTTTCTTAAATTTTTCATTGTACTTAATTCGAGTGTTTTGTTTTTATTAATATAATCCAAGGACACGCTAGGCATCGGTGTCAGAAGTCAAAGTGCAAAGTATGTAATAATGTAATTTGTCAAACAATAATACGTATTTAGAAGACCTAACCTCGTAATCGGTATTCTGACATTTCAGCTATCAGATATGACAAGTATTCATCATTTTCCGAGGCAATAACATTTTTGTCATTAATTAGCGATGATTACTCGCGCCGGGAATAAACTTTCTGAAACTGGGCTCATTGCTGTTCCAAGTACTGTACTATTATATATCTGTACATACAATACACGTATACAGTTAGATACACAGTAAGTTTAGATGGGTTTCTGACATTATTTAACAATACAAAGACATAGAATTGTGACAATGAAACGTAAAGCCACAAGTTTTACAAGTGATACCAACAAGTCAGCGACTGCGAGTAAACATCATTGGTCGGCTGGTTTACTTAAATCAATAGAGGATCCTGAATGTAAAGTCAAAGAAGACGATAAAATAATTGCCATCAAAGATAAGTACCCTAAAGCGCAATTTCACTACTTGGTTCTACCGAAAGAGGACATTCTCTCTATATGGCATGTCAAAAAGGATCACCAAGATTTGCTTACGCATATGCACAATATTGCATGTGACCTGGTAAAAGTCCAAGTGGATCATGAATTCATGTGAGTCTCAAAATAGAACAGTATTAATAAATAAATAAATAGCAACCAATTATATAGTGTACACACGTGATTATAAAATAAAATGTATACACGGAAAAAAAATGATGTATCAACAGCATCATTTTTTGTATCAACAGCATCAGTGTTATCGAGATAAATTTTATTGATGCAACATCAATATTAAATGAACAAAAAACATCGGACAATGGTTTCAATAATTTAAATATCTAGTCCAATAATATCCAATTGAATTAACTATTTATGCTTGTGGCAGCTCGTGACGTTGATGTTTAATTGAAGCAACTTAGATTTTTTTCCGTGTAGGCTGTGCCTCAAATATATGAAAAAAAAATAATACTATGTATATAGTATTATTTTTATAAATATGAGATAGTATACATGAATAACAAATAATTTTTAATTCTTGCAGCATAGGTTATCACGCGAGGCCAACTATGCAGAGGCTGCATTTACACGTAATAAGCACGGATTTTAATAGTCCTTGTCTTAAAACAAAGTACCATTGGAATTCTTTTACAACACCATTTTTCTTATATTCGTCAGGTTTGTATCAATATCTTTATTTAAATATATAGTCCTAGATACAGAGGCAAATTGAATTTTAGATGTATGTCGTCAATTGCGCGAAGAGGGCGAAATCAAAAAGGTTTCTCCGCAGAAGTGTACAGACTATCTGCAGACAAAACTGAAGTGTCACAAATGCTCAACACAGCCGAAAAATATGCCAGATTTGAAAAGGCATTTATTAACACACATCGATAAATGAAAACAATAAAGAATAAAATATAGAATGTACAGGTAATTTAAGACTTTTATGTAATAAAAAAAATATGAATTGTCTCTAGAAAATAATTCTTTCTCAATATCTTTATATCATTAAACAGCTTGCAACCCAGAAATATTTAGTATAACGCAATCGACAAGCAAAAAAAGTATGTTACATTATTATACATATATATAAAACACGAAATGTTTACATTGCATAGGTAAAATTAATTGTTTCTTATAATTATAATGTAATATATGTATCGCATTGAAGAAACTTTTTGGAATAGGACATGTTTGGAGTAGGACAAAATTAATACAGGCCCATTTATGCGATATTTCGGAAGATTTATTCTGAATAAATTTGATGTTATCCTTAATACATCTTGGCGCCTATAATATCAATTATATCCTAACTATTTACAAAGTCTTCTCGTAGGTTGCGCGAGTGTATATTGACGGTATTTGTGTGTACGTGTATATGTGTGTTGTGTATTAGAATGTGTGTCACATTTAATCTGATACATTTAGTAATACTGCAATCAATAGTTTGAAACGTTTCTGCTGCATCGAAACAGTAGGCATCTGAACATTCGCAAGGCCCTGCTGTTATTTACTTGCGTGTTTCGCAGATCGTAAAAGATTTCGTAACGGTGTAAGAGTTTCGATTTAAGTATACGTCTCCTCTGACAAACTTCTAGCCTAGTTAAATTAGTTGTCTCTTCTCGTAGTGTCACGTAGCGCCTGGGCATTTCTCTTTTACGAAGTCACGTCCAAATCCGATTATTTCGCTATGATATAGTATAGTGAGAGGGGAAGGTCCGAAGCGCACGGACCGAAGGGCGGCAGGAATCTCAGGAATAGTGCCGGACGAACGAACGAGCGTCCGACAACGCTCCTTTGCCCCTTTTTCGGAAAATCGAAACGCGCCGTTGTGTAACCCTAAGACTCGCGCGCGTTTACATCTGAAAGTTTGCAAAGCCTGCACAAAACATAGGGATCTGCAAAGTTTCTCCATGATGGAAACGACGCGCGCGATCCGTTCTCCCTATCTCGTATACAGGAAAAAAAAACAAGAAAGACTTCGACGTGTGATACGAGATCGGCGATCGGAACTTGAAACGCGTACTCTCTCTCCCCGGAAAAGAAGCACAACGTCGACGTATGATATATTTACACATGCACGGAAATATATTATTTGTTCCTATATCGAAAAATATATTTTTTTAATGTATGACTTCACGCGCGATTAATGAAACGAGATATATATATGCGTATATATATATACACATACATACATACATATATATATATACCAAAATCTCACGACACATGTGCTTCGTTCACGGTAGACAGATTACGTTGCGAAATTATTGAGGCGCGATTCACCTGAAGCGGAACTTCGAACTAAGGGGGTAATTTTCGCTCTCTCTCTCTCTCCCGCGATCGGTTCTCACTAGAAAAAGAAAAAAGTGGAGTCTGGCCGGGACGCCGACGGTGGTTGATCGCCCGCTCTTCGTTTCTCGTCCGCCCGCACCGTACGCGGCCTGCCAAAAGCGGTCATTTTGAGCAAAGCCACTGGGCAAGCGAGGAACAATGCCGATCCGTAAAAGAACGGATCACCATTTTTTCGAACATCGCACGACGAAACACGCGCCAACCACCGACTGCCGCGACCATCCCCCGAATACCCTGTTTATGTCTGCGCCATGCGAGAGAAAGAGAGAGAAATATATAAAGAGAACAATAAAGCTTTTCGTCGGCGGAATCGCGAACGAGCCGTACCGAGAATCAACGAGAATTTAAACCTAAACGCGATTTTTACCCTATGAACATTTATACACAGTTTCTTTCTCCTAACTAACGCACTATTCACATTATATAAATATTTTATATATATATTCCGCACAATATACCTATATAAATATTCTCATATGTTTAGTAATGTACAGTTTTATATACAAGATCGGACTACGGCTCGTTCGCGGTATCACGGGTCGAATCGCGCCTTGATTCTTTCTTTTCCTCCCTTATCAACGCGGTAGTACGTATTCGCAGTAAACGTGTATACCTAAAAAACAGCTAAGTCTAACGACAATAGTTGACGTATAATATAGAATATATATAATATATATATATGTACGCAGTAACGTAGCAACAACGCAGTGGTGACGGTAGTAATAGTAATAGTAGTAATAGCGCTATACTCTCTAATAATATATAGTAAATACATAGTCGCAGAGCGGGTGTAGCGAGATAGTTAACTAGTCTGTAATCTCTATGTACGAACGTTGCGGTCCTCGACGCGCGATATTTAAAAAGAGAGAAAAAAAAACAAGAGAAAAAACGAAGAATAAATAATTCGAGAGGCAAGTAACAGTAGAAATAAATTAACGAAGCGCGAGGCCGTGTTTAATTAAATACCTAATTTATACATATGCGAGGAAAATAGAATACTCGTAATACTCGTAGCCGCGTCGCCTGTCGCGGCAATAATTACGCGGGCGATAATAATTTTCGCTTGAACGCTATATAAATCATACCGTGAATAATAATAATCGCACTAATGACAACGACTTTAACGAATTGGCGAAAACGCTCTAAGCGAACTTTACTATAGCGCCTCTTAAAGCTATCAAACGAGTCTATATTAGTCTAGAGTCCTTTCTCAGGCGTGTAAAAGTCTTTTGTCGGAAGGGAAAACGAAGCTCTCCTCGTTTCCTATGCCCCTTTTCTCCACCGCTTCCTCTTCGTGTGAACGTGCGGGGATGGAGTGCGATCTCTCCCCTTTCCTTCGATATTTCCCACCTAATCACTGGATCGCACGCTCGAGTCCGCGAGGGCCAGATGACGAGAAGCGTTAATTAACGGCGAGACGAAAAACGCTGTGGTAAGACAACGGATACTTTCCCTTTACTTTTACTTACGTATCTACTATGTTACAAAGTGTGCTTTTACGCGGCCTGCTCTTCGTAGAAACGTTATGATATTTACAGAGAATATTTACGCGAAAGGGGAACGAGAATACGAACGCGGGGGGAAGGGGGATCAACGACGTGACGAGGAATACTGTCTGTACACCGCGAAGAGGGCAAAGATCGCCCAGAATGTCGCGATATTCCGGGGATCCTTTACAGGCGACGTAAAACGGTTTCGTTAAAGCTGCGTAGTGTATCTCGTTATCCTCCACTGCATTTTTCGTGTTCCTTTTTTCCCTTTTATTTTTGGCTAACCACGGGCTAAATTGACGTCTAAACTGGCGCGGCCACGTTACACGACTGTGGCCGCGCGCGGCTTTTAATTTTAATTTCACCTAGATACGCATCGCGTTTTCATCGCGTGTGTAAATTGGACTATACTTAGAAATAAAGTACTAGAATAGCGCCGTGCGAAGCGTGTTTTGCGCGACCAAGGACGCCTCTGGACGGGAAGATCCTTCCTGGGACACGATCCGGTCTCTTATTTTTGTTTTGTTTTGTTTTAGTTTCTTTTTTTCCCCAAAAGCCGATTCGTGTGAAAATTTGTGCTTGTGCGTGGGATCCGGATTATGCATATCGCGAGAATTGTAAACATCGAAATTTACGGGTGCGTGAACTTTGTTTTCCTTTGCTTCACAGAGGCGACCTCGATCTCACGCGAGTTACGTCACACGGCAACAGGCGCTGCGAATACACAGCCGAAGCCTTGGCTAAAAATTTCTCTAATCCTCCGTCTTTACTTTTTTTTTCGTGCACACATTGTGCGGTTGTCGCGCGGATGAATGCGATCTCTCTCCAAAGGATCGTCAATAAATAGCGAACGTAAGTGATAATGGAGACCGCGCGACCGTGATTCTCGCGACGACGGAGGTCGCGTTTCGGAATTTTTGCCTAATAAATTTCTGCCTATACTGTACAAGGCGCGCGATTCGGAGCGCGCGAATAAGTCTACTAGTCTACTTTTTACAATGGGCTAATACGTGAACAATCGATTTGCAATCTCTTCTCGTCGGGAATAGATTCGGCCTTAGCGATCGCCACTCGCGGACTTTACCACTCGTTACATGTTCTGTCTTTTGGATCTCTCCCATTGTCATTTTAAGCGGTGGTCATCTCCTGCAGGCCGTAACAGTGAACTCGCGTCTCCTCGATTGCTCTGCACCACTCCAACGCGAATCCCTCGGGATCTTCGAGGTAGTACGTCCTGTTTGGCTGTAAACAGAAATATAAAAACTTAGATGTGTATTTTTAATTTTTTCGTTCTTATATGTATATAGAAATTGAATAGAAACATAAAAGGATACTATTTTAATCCATCTATCCTTTTATTTGAGAGGCGTAAAAGTATCAAATGCCTAATAATTTATTTTGATTTAAAGGTATTCTAAAACCGCTTACCGTGTGGACGAAGAAGATCTTGAAATTCTTTGGCTCGACCCTCAGTTCTGGACTCCAGGGTATCTCGCCCTTGAGCACATTATTGAAAGGATCGACGTAGTATAGGTGTGGTCCGGTGGTAAGAAGGAGCATTCTCCGCCTGGCGAACAGGCCCTTCCTCTTATTAACAAATCCCTGTTTCAGTATGAGATTGCCCTCGACGAAAGGATGCCACTGATTCGTGGTGCGCTGCTTCTCTAGCCGCATCCTGATCTGTTCCGGGGTCAAATTGGCGATGTTGGTGCCGCTGTCGAGTCTGTTATTGGTACACCTCCTCAGTGGCTTGTCTGTGGCCGCGATGATCTCGTTGAAAAACGCGTTGACAGCGCGTTTCTCAGCGCCGGTGGTGTCGTTGTCGTCATCGATGTCTTCGGTGCCCAACCAGAGGAGCCTGGTGAGTTGCTTCTGGTCTAGACCGGGCTCGAGATTATCGGGCACCCTGTACTGCGACCTCAGCTCCTCGTGTTCCGACGTGCCGGGTAGATACGGATAAATCGGCGGCGGTGTCTGCTCGTGAAGGGTCTCGAAATCAACGCCCTCGAAGAAGGGATGCGCTCGGATGCTGGGGTAACCAGCGCCGTGCTCGTCCAGGGCGCCCAGTCGTTGCGTCGGCTCCAGAACGAGAAGCTGATTGACGAACGACCTGGCCAGCTCGCAGAAACCGTCCGGTATATCGTACTCGAGTTTCAGGATCTTCTGGAACATCAGATACTCGCTTCTCGAGCGGAAGGGCGGCAGGCCGGCGACCATCTGGTAGACGAGACAGCCCAGGGCCCAGAGATCGGACGCTCTGCTCACCCTGTTGTTGGTCAGTAGCTCCGGTGACACATACTGAGCGGTACCGACGAAGGAGCCGCTGCGATCCCTGAAACGCGGCTGCTGCTGAGCGTCCGCGGGCGTCTCCGGATCGTCCTTGAGGATCTTGGCGCAACCGAAGTCGGTGATGAGCACGTGCATCTTCTCGTCCAGCAGGATGTTCTCCGGTTTGAGGTCACGGTGAATGATACCGAGCCCGTGCAAATACTCGAGACCGCGTAGGATCTCGGCCGAGTAGAACTTGGTGCATTCGATGTCGAAAGAGCCCACCTTGTTGATATGTGGCAGGAGCTCGCCGTTCTTAGCGTACGACATGACAAAGTATAGTCTCTCCGCGTCTTGGAAGGTGCAAAACAGGCGCACGAACGAGTGCTTGGCGTCCGCGAGCATGTTCAGCACCTCCTTCTCGCGCTTCACGTACTCGGTCTTCTTCTGCTTGATTATGTGACTCTTATCGCACACCTTGATCGCGTACTCCTTGCTGGTATGGATATCCTTGGCAAGGTAAACCTATCGGGGTCAAAGAATCACGGGTTCGTTATTCTTTTCCCGCATTTATCGTATTGTTAAAAATTTGATTTTTATTTTCTTTTTAGTAAATTCGTGAAAAAAAAACGAGGAGGAAGAGACTTACGGTGGAGAAGCTTCCTTCGCCGATCACCTTGCCGAAGATGAAGTCCTTCGGGGTACGCTTGTGCGTCGGTGGGTTGGTGAGGGACGGGTTCGTGGTCGGTGGAACCCGAGGCGCCAGGGTGCTGGGAGACGCTACCACACCGTTGTTCACGTCGTTCGTCGGTGGAGACATTTTGGACACCGGCCCCTCCACCGTTACTGCCGGCTGTGGCGAAACGGTAAGCGCCTGGTTCGCCACACGCTGCAAAAGAGAAGATGCACGACTTGTCAGGCACACTGTCCGTGATCGTCTGATCCATTTTATTACTCCTCCCGCCGATAACGAATATGCTAAACAGAATCTACAGCCTTGTCGCCTCACAATTTTCTACAGATAGCAGAATTGTAAACTTGATAAAGTGTCGAGTCAGAAGTCACGCGAGACCGAGAATAAATGTCGCCTCACATCTAACCGCGATATTAATCTGAAATTGAGGTAGGTCTAAAATTTCCCGATTGTTTTCTAACTTAATTCTAACTTAATAATTAAAAAAAAAGCAACCGCGGAGTTCGAGACGTTAGAATTGACCGCCGCCCTTCCGCTAGCGAAAATATTCGCGCTCGCGGGGCACTCATTTCCGCTCCGGAAGACGCGAGAGACGCTCGCGCAGAGGAGGCGGAGGAGGAGGCACGGAGCTCCCGTGTCCGGCACTTAACTCCTCTCATCCGCCAACGGTCGTCCGGTACCAGGAAATCACGTACCGGAAGTGTGACGTCACCGACTGGCACGTGGTCATGTCGTGCGGGTCAGAGGATGACGACGACGACGAAGAGAAAAGGAGAGAGAGAGAGGGAGAAACAGACATCGGTTCACGCGCGTTCTCGCGCCACGCAGAAAAGCAGAAACGCATTCACGCGGGCACGAGCGACCCACACGCGCTGGAAGATCAAGGCTGCACGCGGCCGAAGTCCAAAGTTTACGGGGTTAATCACGCGCGCTTTCATAAGCCGCGCGCGTTTCGCCATTTACATTTACGATTTTATGGAAGCACATCCTCTTTCGATATGCAAATATATATATGTATACAAAAGAAAAAAATATATATATATGGAGCAATATTGTAGTCGCTAGTTAGACAAGTTGCTGCTTGACATCTTCTGAATACAGAACGGCCTTGATTGTGAGAATTCGAAAGGCCAGCGGGGCCCGAAGACGTATTCGTACGTCCGTTAACAAGGTTGCAATGCAAAACTGAGGGAACAGGAACGACGATTCGGGTGAGAAGGGCAAGAACGTTTTTCCCGCCGGATTTCCCTCGTTACAACGGAAGAGATCATTGTTGGCTACCTCTCTACGAGATGTAGCGCTTAATTGCGACCCGTTTGTGAGATGCTTTTTATAATGCGCCAAACGACTGGGTGTGCTCTCTCACGCGCGCTCTGGTTCTTCCTATTCACGTAATAGAAAAAGAATCGCAAAGGGATTGGTACTGGAGCGTAAAAGGCATTATAGCCGCGATACAGGTTGAGCAACAGATGTTCCACCTCTGGTACCTGCTCGGTAATCTTGCCGGGGGGTTGAAGACGATTAAATACTGCGTTTAGAAAGAGGTATGAAATTCAATGGCCGAAGGGGTGAAGCCGAAAACCGGCCCGGCGAGAAAGTGCCCGGAGGAGCACTCGGAGAGTATTTCCGCTCCGCGGAGAGGAAGATGATCATGATCACGCGGGGGTCCCCGTGAAGAAAGATAAATGTCTTTCTTTCGTGCGGTCCTAATCGTCCCTCGTTTCCGGCTCGAAAGACGATCGAGCTCTCTTCTTTCCGCCTGTCATTATCCTTGCACTTCCGCCAGAAAACGCAGGAGACGCTTTGTATACGAAGGATCGCAACAGGTTTCCCGCCGCCCGTGATCGTCGATCCCTTCGCGGTATTCTCTTCTCTTTCGAGAGTCTTCATTGAAGATATTGAAGATATTAAGACGACGAAGATAAGAAGATAAGATTAAAGAAAAATGTAAAATCTAATCTTCATGCTTTGAAGGCAAGATAGGCGGAGCCACTCCAGGAACCCCGAAGCGAATTTTAATCAGTCTCTTTAATGATTTTATAATCAGTTCTCACAATTTCTATTTAATAGCGTCCGAATTAATATGTCGACAGTGAAATTTGCAATTATTAAAATTTCATTATTTAGTTGCGCGAGATTTTTATACCGGAAGTTTTTCAATTCAAAAGCTACTAGCTGCTCGACATATTAATTAAGGGAAAAATCCCATCAACTCGGCTTCCGTCGTTACTCGACAAACATCTGTCGTACAATAAACATAAAAGACCCAAACTCATGTACGTATTTCTTGGCTGTTGTTCATGTCATTAATCTTCATGGATATCTTATCGGGACCAAATAATGATTGAATAATTATGTCTACTCTACTGGAAATCATGGCGTGATGGATGACGTAAAGCCGCGACTGGCGACAATGTTATGCGCGGCTCATTGAATCCAGCTTTACGATTATTTGCGACAGATGGTCGACAAGGAGAAACACTTCCCCCGCGGAATCTTCTTAAGTCCGCAGCGGCGACGTCGATGGGTCGATACGCAATAATAATAATCGCGGATGACCGGGACGACCGAGTCGCGCGGGAGGGAAGTGGTATAACGAGGCAGGATACGATCGGTAATTAACTGCTCGCGAGCGGAGATAATCTCGATATACCGTATAATGTTTTTGTAACTGTTTTCCCAAGCCGGGCCGGGGAATGATTTTGGGCGAGAATTGCATAAAGTCGACGGTGATAAACGCGGTCGGCCTCGAACGCGGACGGTTCCTCTTGTTTTATAGCGGGATTTTCTTGCGGCCCGTCGTAATTTCGGGCCGCCGCGCCTCCGCTGGCGCGGGTAACACTGCCAATAAAAAAGAACCCCCCGCCACCATAAAATCCCCACAAAAATCGTAAAACCAGGACAGACGAACGGGCGTTTCGTGAAAAACACGACCGAGCGTTGTTTGTACAACGGCCGTGCAAGCGAATTAAGTTTTATCACTTCATCGAGCATTCTCGGCTTTTATGATTTTCCCGAGCCGCGGTAATGAAGCACTTCGCATTTGTTGGAGACGGAACGAGGACGACAATGACCAAAGGCAACGAATACCGTATTATTCTGGTGTCAAATTTTTTCTCACAAGCAAGAGAAAGAGAGAGAGACGGTTCTTTAATTTTAAGCGTGTTTCTCCGAAATATTAGGTTATAAATATATAGGATGTACAATATACAAAAGAGAAAAAAATGAGGTAAACTAAAGAGATAAATACTGTAATAATTAAAGAAATTGTAGAAGTAGACAAAAGAAATAAAAGTTATGTATTTTATTTTTTATAGAGTGAAACATTCGTGAACAATTAAAATATATTCTAAAAATAAAGAGCAAATAAATGTGACAAATATCAAATGAAAGCTAAGATAAGAAAAACGGAGCTCTTGCTGATCGAGTTGAAATAAACGTGGCGCCAAGCGCCTCTTAAAGGTATTAATTAATTCCCATAGAATCAATAATAGAAGGAGTAAGAGTGAAACATCGAGAGAAGAATAAATTGCGACGCGCGAGGAAGCGTCGGATTAGCGGCGGCAAGCGAAAGAAATGTAATAAAAAATATCCGGTCGTGTTGTACAAGTTATAACGGTGTGTGAGCACGGGGAAAATAGAATGAGCGAACGATAAAAGCGGACCGGCGGCGAAAAGCCGCAGGTACGGTAAATAGCGGCGAGATAGGAGCAATAAATACGCAACGCCCCAATTTCGTGCCATTCGTCCCGTCTCTATCGTCCATCGATCACACTTTTACCAGAGAAAGAAAGGGCACGGTGTAATCTGGGACACTCGCGGAGTACTCAATGGAGAACTAATATGAGCTATCGACGTCACGGAAAATCCACTCGAAATTGGTCGAGAACTTCACGCCCCCCCTAAACGTCTTCGTTTTCATCTTTAAGACTACTTTATAGGCTCAAAGAGCGATCTATATGCTCTACTATTATTCCGATCCTTCTCCTATAATCTAGAAAGGGAGAACGAGTGCCGAGGTAGGGGAATTGCCAGCTGACCCAGACCGATCAGCGAGCCGGGGGGTACCAGCGATCTATCGTCTTCGCGGAGGGCGAAAACGCGTCGTTGCTCCACAGCGGTGGGCCCTTTCCTTTTCTCTCTTTATCTACCTTTTCTCGTTCTTCTTCCCAGGCCGGTTACGAGGCGGGCCCCACGGCGTCAACCATCCGTGTCAGGCCGTCGACCTCGCCGACGAACGTTCGCCCGAGTATCACCGGTCCTCCTCGGCCTCTCTTTCTCTCTCTTTCTCTCTTTCTCACACGTTCGCCTCGAACTCGCCTTGCCCCGCTAGTTTATTTATTTGCTTATCTATTTCTCGTCGTTCCCTCTACCCCCGCGTGCCGACGACGACGACGACGACGGAGGTATAACTCAAGCAGCGGCACCAGATACCGGACACTTCGCAAACGCGAGGCGCCTCGGCTCGCCTCGATCCTCAGGTATCGAGAGACGAGGTGGGGAATTCCGCAGAAATAATCGATACGCGAGCGACAGTCCGCCGTGGAATGACCTGGGAAAGATTTGCTTAGATGGCAGATAGCGTGCGATCCCGCGCGGGGAAAGAGAGAGGAGGGTCTCGCTCTTGAAGTATTTGAAAAGCAATCGGTGGTATTTGAATTTCGGTCGTGAGCAAAGGCCTACCGGCCCCGAGAGGACGTGACCGGCGGCCCAGGGTCCCACAAAATTGGTGCCCGTTATTTATAGAACGAATTCGCGGGGAAACCGTCGGTGAAGGACTTAGAGCCCGGCCTCTCTGAGCAAGCTAACATTGAGATTCCACAATTAAAAAATTCGAACTCTTTAACTGTAGAGAATACAAATATTTTTCGTACTATTAATGAAAATTGGAGAAGTGTCACACTGATATAATAAATAATAAATTTCGAGCGTACGAGTGTGGAAACTTCTGAATCTATAAATTTCAATAATTGAGTCGTTCGTAAGTACGAAAGCAGTACGTGACGAAAATAATGTCCCATTTGAAAATAGCACCGTTGAATCACATGGTACTACTACTCCTGCTGCTACTACTACTATTCTTCTACTATCATCCGCCTCGTGAAATCTCGCGATGAAAAAAAGTTAAGGACTATTCTCGGAGCACGTCGATACGCGAATCTATTTCCGGCGACGCGAATATAAAAGGCGCGCGAGAAAGGAGGAGCAGCGGGAGAAAAGAGAGAGCGAAAGAGAAAAGAGAGGACCCCATAGCGCAAGATCGACCGCGCTTTCCGGTGTCCCTCACACGCGAGTATTCGCGCGGGTATCCGCTACGCGTCCTTAGGGGCTTCGCCGCAGGACGGAATAAACTATCCGCGCATATCTACTCTCCTCCGTCTCTATCCCCCCGTCTCTCTCTCTCTCTCTCTCTCTCTCTCTCTCTCTCTCTCTCTCTCTCTCCTTTTCTTTCTCTCTCACTCGCTGAATCATCCTGTACACACCATCACTACCAGCGGCATTCCAACGGACATTCTAATTTTAGCCCCGCGCGCGTCTTCTCCCCCCCTCTCTCTCTCGTTCTCCCGCGCGCATTCTCCAGTCTTCTCTACCCTCTCTCTCTCTCTCTTTTTCTCCTCCATCTTATGGCGTTCCGCGTTCTCTCCCGGTACGCGGGCTTTACTCTTCCCTCCTTTCCCTTTCCCTTCGCGCGGACGGAGGACGAAGGGAGGCAAAGGAGAGTGCGACGCTCTCTATATACTCGCCGCCGCCGTCGTCGTCGTCTGCCTCCTTCCTTCTCTCCTCCCGCGTTTCTCGGACCTCTCTCTCTTACTCGCGCGCGCCACTACTCTTGTTTTTGCCGCTCTCGCAGGTAAGGGACTACGCCTATTGGCGCAGGCGGCCAGCACTTTTGCCCGTGAATGAGATGTTTTGCATTCGCAGACGCTGAGAAACATGTCGCGAGCGCGAGCGGGCGAGCCGAGCGAGCGTGGTTAAATTGGATCACGCGCCGCCAATGCCGACGAATAAAAGTGTTCGTTCGACGAGGAGAGAACGAGAAGCGAATGGAATTGAATAGAATACAGTTTGCCCGCGCGACATACCGTTCTAGCGCGGCATAAACCCCCGTGTCTCGTCGGAGGCTACGAGACGAAGGTAGTCTTAAAAATAAACATATCGATAGAACAGAAACAAATTATTAACAGGAGAGAAGGATATAAGCGTCGGGATATATTCCTCGCTCGCAAGGCTCGTTAATTAAAAACTCGATTACAAGCGAGAGAGAGAGAGAGAGAGAGAGAAAATACTTGTTAGACTGAGCGATAAATATTTTTCCAAGCGTGTAAACGAAAGTACGAAGTGCGCGAGTGGTGATATAATAGATAATAAAAAAGCGAGGGAGCTGTTAAGCCGTCGAGTAAAAATTGCCGATAAGTACAGAGTATAGATCGGCAATATCACGTTCGTAGAAAGGAATGCGATAACGCCACGCGGTATTGTGGTCAAGTGTTTGTATCGATCGTAGCCTTTTTTTTATATTTATCCCGGAGGGGGGAACAGGGAAGAGGAAAGGTCTGTCTCCCGTGAAACGTTACTTGTGAAAACAAAGGTGGTGTTAAAGCTTTGCCCCCGATTCTCCTCAGGTAACGAAATCATTCTCCAATATACATTTCGTTCCGTCGGCTCTTCTTTTAATTAAGGGTCTACGAGGATGAGGAAAACATGTTTTCTGTTCAATGGAAATTCTAAAGCGTGAGACTGGATGTTGCCAAGGGTAAGCGAGCTACAGAGTCTGTCTCACTCTCTCGCTACATGGAAAAGCCGTGTGTGTGTGTGTGCGCTGGAGCTTAGAATTCGGGGGATTCTTTGACAGGGCAACAGTCGACCTTAAACACATTTCGACTTTGTTGCGATCCACCTCGAGGGTGGACAATGGTTAGTCTGAGGGTGAGCTTTTCTGTCGAATCGAGGAATGTGCACGCACTCGGTCGGTGGCGTCCTCCGATTCGCAGGGGGAGGGTGGAGAAAGTCAAAAGGCGCGGCAATAACGTTTCTAATACACTTATGTATCGTTATTGCATCGCGACTGCGTGCATCGTGTGTATAGCGTTGGATATTTACGTATTAACGTAACTGCGACATGCGACACCATATGTGAAACAACAAAATATGTTACAAAACTAAACAGGGGTATATTAATTGATTTCTAATTGCGTTAATTCTATTTCTATCATTGTTATGATACGGGAAGGATGAGAAGTATAATCAGAAATAAATATAACGTACATAATGACGTCGGCGAAAGCTAGTGGCGCTCGATAACCCGCGTGGTTCCGTTAGCTTACTCGAGTATACCCTGAATTGTTTTTCAATTAGCATGCAGCTCCCGACGTGAAGGCTGGCGCCCGGAGTTTCCCCGCGTTCCTTGCATCACGGCGGAGCCGAGAGAGCAAAGTTCCGAGAATTATGCGCTATACCCAACCAACACGGAGGCGAAGGCTGGGTGGTCTAATCCGAAGGTGCCACGGGCACGAATCATAATTTCACTCCGCGTTGGTACATTTGCGTTACGATACATCAGCGGGAGACTATTATTTGTAAACGCGCGGATATTTGTCACGGAATCTTATTTGGATGTTTGCGTCCGAGGAGTTACGTAGCAAACAGGAATAATTACGAGAGACGGCCAAATACGTTTCGCAAGTTCGATATCCCGGAGGGGAAAAAAATCTCTCCTTTAACCGCGCTTCCTTTTTCCTCTCGCCGTTCTCTATCTCTCTTCCCTTTTTATTCGCGCGCGACCGTCACCGAAGATAACGCCGCGCCGCCTCGCCGGGACGAAGATCGGAGCTCGCCCGCTTCGGAAACCTTTAAAGTGTTTGCTTTCATATGGTATATATCGTATAAACAGCCGTCCGCGGACCAAACATGTTTTTTCGATCGGGATACATCATCCACGGACGCGCTTATACAGCGACATTCTCTCCTCGTATGCGGGCGTGACGGAATCTCGCTCGATCATCCACGGTTCACGTGTCACGATCGCTACGACCTTACGGCCTTCGGTCGGTTTCCATAATCGCGCTCCGGCCTCTCTTTTACCCTTTTTCTCATTCACTTTTATTTTCGGCCACGAGAGAGAAAAATAGAAAGAGAGAGAGAAAGAGGATGTCGCACGCGCGCCAACTGATACTCGGTCGTGACATTTCGCTATCACACTCGTCAAACGCGCCGAAAACAAGAACGGCGTTGCCGAGCAAAGTTAGAAGGCTCCCCGATCGATTATCGGTATCGGCAAACAACTCGAGAGCGTCCTGACGAATCTTTTCCTTTTTTTTTTTTCTTTGATTCCTCGGATATCGAATAATGTTTTGCCAGCCGCGAATATTATCGTCTCGTTCGTCGTGTGCGTCCCTCGCTATTTGCTGGTAATGCCGCGCGTTATGTCTCCCAGCTTACGTCACACGTGTTTACGACGCGCTGCATCGGTTGAAGACCTAATTGACGGGCTTCTAAGTAATTTCACGGAATAACATAAATAACCGGGCGATAACGAACGAGACGAGATACCAGGCGGTGATATCCGGCGAATTCGTTTAAAATTAACTGCGCGCAGCGCGCGACCGTAAACAACCTTCGGGGCCGAGTCGAGATTACGCGCTTACAGTTTTCCGAGCCGCCGCCGACGACGACGACGACGACGACGGTGGCGGGCGAATTTATTTAAATTCGAGCGAGTGTAAATTATTCATGCTGCGAGGCAGTATATAACAACCTCCTCTCTTTCTCTCCTTCTCGCGTCCTCGTCCCCCGTTATTTATTTCAGCCGCCCGTTCCCCTTTGTCACGAAACGGACAAGTTTCCGCTTCTTCCTCGGACTCTCGCATACTTCACGAGGCTGCCATAATCCGCCGCGTAAACACCGCGGAGACGGTCTATACACATTTATATCTGTCGATCGATCCGCGCGCATATACGGGTGTTATCCATCGTTCCGATTGTCGCAATAACTTGACATTGTTATTTTGTTCGCCGACGTTCGCGATGATTCTCGGTGGGCGTCGCGGACGCGCGTCTGTCTCCTCCCGATCGCGAGATATATCTATCGCGGAGTTTTCCCGCCAACCTTCCCGCAGTGCAGGAAGTCGCGGACACTGATCTTCGTACCTCCGCGCTTAGCTAAACAGCCTCGTCATCCTCGTCGCCTGCCAACTTATCACGCGCGTTCTCTCCCCGCACTAGCTAACGCGTCCGAGCCAAGTCGGAGGAGCGCCTCTTCTCCCTCGGCGCGTCGCGAGTGACAGACGAGCGAGTCTGTCGCGCGGAATCTATCGGGGCACAATTTACGTCGTTCACCACATATCCTTCGCTCTTCCGCCGAAAAACACACTCGAAATCTCGCGCACTATCAACTACGTCCCTCCGTTGTGTCGGATACGCGCGCGCGAAAATCTATCGCGCGGTCCCTTCGAGGAAAAAGAAAAAAGAGCGAACGGGGTGGAAATCGAAGAGGGCGATTATACCCGATACTCGAGAGGGGAGATGGATTCTCTTACCTTGAATAATTTCTTAAGCCTCCGGTAGCCGCGAAGTAATCGCGACACGTACTGCTTGTTGGAATCCAGTTTGATTGATTGAAGCCACAGTTGCGGGAACGAAGATGAAGGACCGAAACCGAAATGACGGGGGGGGGGGGGGGGTTTTGTAGAGCGGGATGAAAGAACTTTTTTTTCCTTATTTTCTTTTTTATGCTGCTTTTTTTAGTCGCGGGGATGGATGCGATGTATAGACGGATGTAGTTTAAATACTTCGAAAAGCGGATCTGTGTCGCGGTAGCTGATGTTGTCGCTACTGTTGTTGCTGCTGTTGTTGTTAACGATCTGACTACTGTTGGTCGTCACGTCGTCGCGGTCGCCGATCACCGACTGCGTACTCCCGACGACGAGTGTGTTGTTTCTCGCGGGTCAGTCTCGGATAAGTTACATATATATATGTCGCCCGTATATTCTCACGTATATATATATATGCATGCGCGGGAACCGAAGAACGAAAAACACGTTCGTGGCCGTTGAGAGCCGTTCGCTTACTGAATCCGACGGTTGGCGTGTCCGGGCTGCTAACCCGCGCTTTCTCCCCACCATGAGGGTTCGCCCGAGTTGGCGGCAAGCTTCTCCGTCATGGCCCCCCACCACTTCGTAGGGCACCGACGGCGAGGATCCCACCACCGACGCGAGGGTCTGCATCCGGGAACGGTGGTGGGGCACGGCGTGAGGGGTAACGCGCGCGCTCCCTCCGCTACTCCTCTGCTCCTTCTCTGCCGCCGCCGCCGCTGCCGCCGTCGCAACGCGTCGCGCCGCGCCGCGCCGGTAATCTTACCGCGAATCGTAAAGCACGCTTACCCCTGCGGTCAAGTGCGAAAATTGCAACGAAAGCATCGAGAGAGAGCGCCCGTTTCTCCGAATTCCGCGCCGACGAAGGGTCGGAATGCGCGTCGCCCCGGAGTTTCGGAAGAACCCCGCTCGAATTTACAAGTGGTCTCGCGTTAGCGTGAGATTAATGACCCCGACGCGCGCGCGGCGCAGCTGCCACGGATGGAAGCGCAGCGGCATCCCGAAACCCACCCTCCCCCGTGCCCCCCGAATTTCGAGCCGCGACGACGGGCGAACGCCGCAGGGCGTTAAAAGCGAGGCCTCGCTCGTCCCAATACCTTCGCATTATCGATGGTAAACAGCGTCGACTGTTTGTCACCGTCGCCGTTTCGCTCGCGACGACTTTACGTTGCGATTTCGAACGGGAGAGCGCCAGAGGGGAAGCGCGTGTGTGCGCGCCTATCGTATCGTGGACGGTGGTGGGGCCCGCCGACGGTTTTCGCGCCCGGCGGGTGCGGCGGGGAGGGGAGAAACCAGGGAAACCCCACGCACGGCGCATGCACCGGTCGCGCAATTGGCGAAGAAGAGGGGGAGGGCGAGCAGGGGGGGTTCCCTCAACCGACGACGGCGCCAGGATCAAGCTCCCCGTCCCCGCGTGTTCCCTTTTCCGCCGCGTCCGGCAACGCGCGGCGGCTGGCTCCTCGTCGGTGCACTCTCCCGCGTTGGAAGGGAGTGCACTGATCACACGCGCGGCGGTACCCTCTCTCCCTGCCGCCCCCCTTCCACTGCTCCCCCCTCCCTTCTTTCGCGCTCACTCTCTCTCTCTCTCTCTCTGTCTATTTCTCGCTCTCTCTTTATCCCGCCAACTCGATGTGTTTGTTTGTTTATAGTCGCGTTCTGGGAAATACCCGATACGCGAGTAACGGAGTCTCATACACGCGCCGTGCCGCGCGCGGCCGCCTGCATTCCCATTCTGGACTTGCATCCGGTCGGTTCTCGGATTCCTCCGAGACTTCGGAAAGCGGCCGGTTGGCGGTATACGCGCGGCTCCGGGTCGGAGACTCGATGAGAGTCTCGGGGAACGGACGCTTCCCTTTCTTTTCTCAGCTACCTGTGTGCCGGCGTCTTTCAACTTTTCCGCAGCGACGGAAAAGCTTTTGAATAATAAAAAGTGGACATCGTAGTCTCCCTAGGGAAGCAGGTATATTCTCGCAATGACATTCCAGATTTTTTGACCGCGCCTAAGAATAGAAACGGTTCCGAAAGCAGCAGGGGGTAAACTTACGATACTTTACGCTTTTACCGCCGCATCCTGTGCTATGCCTGACGTTCTACGGTTCCACACGGTTCCCCGATATCCCGTATTCCGATACCGCGCAGTCCAGTTACTCCGGATACGAGCGCGTCCGCTTATAATTTATTAATATAGACGGAGCGCGATCGGGCGCGCGGTCGCAATCGTCAATCATCGTCGATGCTGGCTGCCGCGCGCGCGTTCCCTTCCGTAAATCTTCCTGACGCGCCGATAGATAATCCTCTCGCAGCGGAGTCGTGCGGTCGACGCGCGCGGCGCGGGCGGGCGGGAGGAGTCGCGCGCGTACGAGATCGATAGCGGAGAACGCGCGCCGTGGCCGCTTATCGGCTGGCGTTTCTGAAAAGTAGTCCACCTATAATCTCAGGAATGCACTACGTCACCGGCAATCCACAATGTACATACGCGCGCGCGTGCCTGTCTCTGCAGATCGCACGGCAAATATTGTACAATGATGTTGCGTAATGATGCGTAATGGCGATGCCGCGTGACCTATACGAGAGTACATAGCGGGGCCCACATGACGCGACGATAACGTCGAAGATGACGGTTAATTAAGAGCCGCACGTAGAGATGCCGAGAACACGGAAGCCTTACGGAAGGCACGCTTTGCGAGGAAAATCTCTCGGAATTCGTAAACAGGAGAATTCTTCCTATTTTTCAAGTTTCCTTTCATTTTTACGGATAGTTATATATATATATATACCTATGTGTAAAAAACATGAAAATAAATAAATATTATTAAGATATTATATTGACATATATATAAATATAATTTAGATATATATACAACTTGATTATATAAATTATATATTTGTAAATGAACTTTGGAACGTAAAATCCTATTCCGAGATCCTACGTGTTCTTTTTTTCGTAACGTCACACTCTCGTGCTCCTAAACAAATATGTACAAGTATGAAGGAGATTTTAGATAATGTCAAACAAAACTCTTGAACTGCGCAGCCGATCTATCGGTTTTCCTGCGGCCGTGGACGCCAGCTGTTCCTCGCTGTTTTTCCACTTTTTATCTAGTTTTTAGACCTGCGGGGAAGGTCCCGCTGTCAGGGGGAACGTCCACGCAACGCGATATATCGGGTCGAACGTTTCCACAGCGGGGAAAAAGGGAGAAGGAGTGAGAAGAAGAGGAAAAAAAAGAGAAGAAATCTTCGGGATGCTGCGGCGCGTGCATAACAACGATATATAAACGGCTGGCAATTATTCACCGAACGGTATGATAATGCCTGATGATTCGCGGAAGAGTCAACAACAACGCCGGCAGATCCTCTCTTGGACTTTGTCGCGCGCTTGTTGCGTAAATAAGATATCGACGTGCAAATTCCACGTGCCGGGGCAAAACTATTATTAAATGAGCGGGTCTCGACGACAGATATTAATAATCGTGAGAAATGCAAAGTCATTGAGAAACGCACATCAATCGACGGTTGGCGTAGCTGACAAACTCAGCGATTTCCCTACGTTCGCCATTCGTGCGGATGTAAACGCGTGTATTGCGCTTCCCTAGGTTCAAAGGGCCCGGAGCCCGCATAACGTTCGCTTTCTGACCACTGACACGTGATAATGAACGAAAAATATGTACGCCATGTGCCTCGGGTCTGCCTTAAAACCATTTAAGAAAGACCGGAAATAACAGAGCAAACACAAAAGAAGAAAGTCCTTTGGATGCTTTTCCTTTCCTTCTGGAATAATCTCTCGGGAGGTCTCTTTGCCAAAGGTATAAGGCTGTAACGCGGAGTAAAGCGGTCAAAAGTTTTCTAAAAATAGTTCCACTGTTTTTATTATGGAGTTGAGGCAAGCCAAGGAAATCAATGCTGACAAGGTCCGTCAGCACGATATCAAGATGTTTTGAAAACAAGAATACGATGAAATATGCTTTGCAAATAACACCAGCATGATCTCTCTCTCTCTCTCTCTCTCTTTTTCTATGTATATGTATATATTGTATATATATTAAAAAGATTTCGTGTTTAGAAAAATATTATTGATGATATAATAATATTTTCCCCCGCGTTGCCTTTAAATTCAAAATATTTTTACGTCGAGGGTGAAATTCCCATGTGCGAGGCGTCAACAACTAAATACACTTGACACTCTCTCGGGAGGTTTCCGCAAAAATTTGTCGCGAAGTCATCGAACTTCACGCTATCGTCATCGACGTATACTTTGGCCCGCGCCGTCGCGAGCCAGGAACAACCGCGAACTGTTGTCGTAGTCCCGTAAACGGGGACGGAGAATTATCTCTCCCTCTTTCTATCTTTCTCTCTCTCTCCGTACAAAATTAGCGCGTGAAAATACACTTTTGCGAAATCGGCAATGGCCGGGGCCGCCGTTCTGGTATGTCAATGAACAGAAATCCTTGTTCCCCTTCGGACGATCCCCCGCGATCGCCGTCACATCTCATCCCTTCCCCGCCGCCCTTTCTCTTTCTCTCGATCTCGGCTCTCTCGCGACGACGAAGGCCGCTCGCGACTTTCAAATACGCGCTGTGCGCAGTGCGCAGTGAGAACAGTCAAATCATTGTTTGCATGATCGCGTCATTGTCGTCGTCGTCGATCCCCACCTTAATGGGATGATGATAATGCAGACTCCGAAATTCGATCGCGGAATATTTTCGGATGGGGCGCGCGACGCGCGCGGCGGAGAGTCGGCGTCTCGAGATTGTTGCCCCGGCGACGACAATAGGCGGGATTAGCGAAAGGCGACAGTTCGTAATTATCTGACAAAAAAGATGATGCACACACATACACCACACACACAATAACGTAATATTCCTTCTTATTGTATACCCGTGCATCGATGCAAGATGCTTCGCTGCAACGAATGCGAATGCAGGGCGCAAATAATTAGTAAATCATACAATATCAATCTTTTAATTAACTAGACACTACAGACGCGCGCTACGCGCGCGCTATTTATCTTTAACATTTCACTATTAACCCTATTATACACAACTGTCAAAATATACAATGACAGCTGCAAATGAAGTAAGCGCAGCAAGAAAACCAATCGGCATCGCGGAAAAGCGGCAACAATAAACTTCACATCTCCTTTTTAGAAAAGGATGATATACTGTTAATTAATATTGACAATACACATTCTAGTAATATTTGATAGCTAGTTTTTTAATCAGATGTGATAATAACACGGGAAAAATGACAAGAGAGATCATCATGGAGAAATTTACGAGCGAGTAAAAATAGGTCACAAAATTTCAGTCGTAGACGACTTTCCTTCGGTTCCGAAAAGAGAGAGACAGAAAGAGACAGGCGAACTGTAGACGCGAGCATCCGCTGGATATGACGCGTAATTAAGGATGTGCGGAATCGGGGTCGTGACTCTATCCTCGGCGGCATCACAATGCGGAAGCGCGTATTTAGCGCACCCGGCGGTATACGCGCGAGCG